TGAAACCACCCTCCAGAGTGGAAAAGCCGGAGGAGCTCAGGGCTGCAGAGAACGTTCATGTTTTTAAGAGCAGGCTCAAGACCCACCTTTTTAGCTTAGCTTTTGAATGAAATCTTATACTTTGACTTGTTTTTATTGTACACATTATATTTATTTATTTTAGGAATATTTTTAGGATTTCCAGTGTTTCCTCTGTAGAAGCCCTCTGCATCGGAAGTGGAGGTCGACTGCGGCTGCTGGGTCTGTCATGTGGGCTCCTGGTGGAGGGGTGGTGCTTGGGCCTCAGGTGCCCGGGCTTCATCTCTCCCCTGGACCCTGTGGCGGTTCCTGGTGGCGGTGGACATCTCTCTGCTCCTGATGTAGACGGCTCCTCTGATGGCGCTTTCTCAACTGGTTCGCCTGTATTCAGCCTCACATTTTACTATGTCCGGTTTTATGTATCTTAGCATGTTAGTGTGTGTGTGAGTGTGTGTGCATGTTTGTGCGTATGTGTGTGTCTGGGTTGTTTGATTGCGTGGGGTTGGGGGTGTGGACGTTGGGTTGGTGGGCAGTTGGTTGGAAATGTGGGACTGTTTTTAAACACTGTAAAGCACTTTGTGTTACATTTTGTATGAAAAGCGCTTTATAAATAAAGTTTGATTGATTGATTGAAAGTTGAATACACTCCACTGTAGCGTTTCCGTCTATACTGCCCACGACGCAAAACTCTGGTCAGATCTGCTCATGTTGCGTACGCATTTACGTCACATACATACAGTCCACAGAAACAAACATGTCGGATCATTTCCATGCGTTGGACCTTCAAGCTGCTCTGGCCGCTCTAATAAACTTACAGGAGGCATCCCAACAAATGAACAGAATATGCAGAGATACTATTAACAAAGAAGGATCTGCAATTGCCTCTGTCAAATTCTGGATGCACCAGTTCCTCGCAGGCGAGCCAGATGGATATGGATGAAACCTGGAGAACCAGTCGATAGTGGGACAAATTTGTGGAAGGAGTAACTGATGTAAATGCGTGGCGTGAAAACTTCCGTATGTCCAAATATGCCCTTGTTGCTTTAAGTACAAGCAAAACCCAATCGAATTCCACACACTTTCCATCACCGTATGCACACAGATTTCCTTCCAAAAATGTTTGTCTAAACGCAGAATAAAAAGTGAAGACGTGCGCTCCTTTTGCGTCTTATGTTCAGATCGTCGTCATATAAACGTAGCCTCAAACAAAAAAATACCCCAAAACATTCTGTTCCATCTTGTGGTTTGAAATTGTAACACAGGAAGTGCTCCACTGTGTTTTTAAACTCCACACACCTTCACTAGAGTCATTTTGATGATTTCAGTCCTGGAATTGCCAATCTCTACTGAACAAAAAAGGTTAAAGGTAGCTGTTAACTTGAAAACTACTGCTTCATGACATAAGGGGGAGCAAAGTATTGTGAGCTTTGAAGCTGTATACAGACCAAGAATAAAGGGATTACCCAAACATGTGTGAATGAAACAACATAACGTGGTTTAAAGCTCACTGGAGTCAATGTTGTGTAATATAGGACCTTGCAATATAGGACAAATAACTTGGAAGTAACGTAAATGAGATGTTGCTTATCTATGTATAACAAAAGTGTGGTTAAAATATACGTTTGATAGCCATTTTTATTAGAAATTACAACTGCATAGTATTAGCAAAAGTGCAAATTTATTAAACGCACCTGAACATCTCATAGCTCCCCCATTTGTATCTATTCAGTTCTTGTGTGTATACAGGGCCAAAAGTGGTCTGATCAATTTTGGGAGCAAAGAGGATGTGAATTCTTTACCGTACTCTAAGTTCTATGTGCAAGTAAAGGTAATGACTATTTATAGCCTAGGATAGTTGACAATACCAGTCCCTCGAAGGGCTTTTGAGAGTTCTGATTTCACTAAAAAGTACCGTGATTTGTTAGACAAGCATATACTTACAGTGAATTTGTCAAGAGAATCAACTAGTACAAAAAAATGTTACACTCACACTAAATTTTTCAGTATCACAGTTTCTCCCTCACCCCTCTTCCTCCTTCCCTTTACAAATGTACCAGGGAACATCTGTAAACAAGTGTGCCCTATAGTCAGCTGAATAAACAAACAAAATATTCACGCTACAAGTCACAGTTTTGAGAATGTGGTGCGGGGCCCATGGGTGCTGACTGACTTCTAAGGGTGATACGCAGGACTCCTTTGCAATTTAAATTCCTGATTAAATTCACTGAGTTTTAGGTTTATGCCAGGGTGAATTCAGCTCCAGATTTTAGCTCTGTGTCTGCCATAGAGCTGGTGTAGAGTAGTTTTTTGTAAAAGTTTTTGTGGTATAAGATTATGTACCTACAATAGATCTATTTCAGTATTTGCATATTTTCTTTTTTGATGTCTCTTATATAAATAAAGTCCTTTCAAAACATAAAATTGTACCCTGGCCCTGCAGCCATCTTCAAGTTAAAATTTTTTAACACAAAACATATTACAATTATGCAATTATATTACGCAGAATTGACTCTCGTGAACTTTACGCCGTATTAGAATCTTGCAACCTCATGAAAAACATACCTGAAGTTATGTTTTATTTCATTCACATATGTAAATCTCTAAAGTTAAAATGCTCTGTTCCACCTTATGATGTCATCTGGTGGTAGTTTTCATGTTAACAGCTACACTTTTTACCTTTAGTTTATTAGAGACTAACAGTTCTAGGACTGAAATTATCCAAATGATTCTAGTGAAGGTGTAAGTAAGTAAGTAAGTCTTTATTTATCTAGTGCTTTTCACAGACATATGTCACAAAGACGCTTTACAGAGCATTATAGATTCATTACTCTTTTCTCTCCACACCCGATGATGGTAAGGTACTATTGTAGCCACAGCTGCCCTGGGGCATACTGACGGAAGCGTGGCTGACATGCCAATCGGCGCTATCGGTCCCTCCGACCACCACCATCACTCACGCACACACCACTTTCATACTAGGCAATGTGGGTGAAGTGTCTTGCCTAAGGACACAAAGACAGTTTTGTGACTGGCGCCCCACTGTGGCACCTTATTTTCCCATTGGTCTCCCATCCTAATACTAACCAGGCCCGGCCCTGCTTAGCTTCTGAGATCTGACGGGATCAGGCTTTGTCAAGACAGTATGACACCGCTATAGAGTTTAAAAACACTGTGAAGACTTTCTTGTATTACCACATGACATCACAAGGTGGAACAGAGTGTTTTCAGTTTGAGAGAAGAACTCAGCGTAAATATGCAGGGTTTGTGTGTTAAACATGTGAATGAAACAAAACACAACTCCATGTTTTTGATGAGGAAACAACATTAAAACAGATTTAAATTTAACACAATATGGGTCTTTTAAACCAGTTTGGTTCCTGTTCTAGTCAAGTATTTGTATTTTATATTTTATTTACTGAATTAGTCAAATTGCTCCTATAAAAACAATACATTTTCTGTTATTGAATCATTGTCTTTACTGCTGCTCTGTAAGCACTATTACCAAATTCCATCACACAAACACATTTAGACAAAATGCACTTAAAATAATTCGCCAGTTAGCTTCCTGTTCTAATCAAGCATTTCTATTTTATTTCCTTTATTACTGAAATGGTCATATTGGTCCTAAAAAAAACCTCTTAATTTTCTGTAGCTGGAGGTTTCTGAATCATCGCCTTTACAACTGCTTTGTAAGCACCATTACCAAATTCCATCACACAAACACATTTAGACAAAATCTACTTAAAATGATTTGCCAACTCTCCCACAGCCAGTTGCAGCTAATTAATACAGTTTATCTGGGCTATTATGGAGTTAATTGCAGAGGGCTTTTGCAATTACTATTAACATTGTAAAATATAGTCCTTGAGGAGTGACTTCCCAAACACTGTATTTACCCAGAGGAATATAAAAGTGCCATGTGGGACAGTGATGAATGGAGGGAGAGAGAGGCTCATTTATTAGTCACAAGAACACCCAGGCGTTATGTAACACACTGTAGTACATCGTAGTACACTGTAGTATAAAGAGTCTGCGTGCTCAGCATTTTCATTCCTCACGTCATTCACGGGCCATAAAATACTTTTAAAACAGGCAACATGCAGTTTGAGGAAGAAATAAGCCCCTACAAGTCTTACACAAACTAGTAGTGATATAACTACTACAGCTGCTAGTGCTATTAGGTGCACTTTTCTTCATGGTTAATAGTTATACTTCAGTGAGACTTATATATTAAAACTTTCACCCTGACAGCCACGAGAGAGCGTTCTAGGTTTGTGTGTCAGGATCTGCTACTCGGCGCCCTATTGCGCATGTCTCCTGCATATGTCCTGCTGCAAGTAGTGAAATATGCAGCCGAAAACTGTAATCGAGCAACAGAAAGAAAGTTTGGAGTGAGAAACTTGTGAGGGACTGGCAGAAAGCGGGGATGGAGAATACAGCTTCACGGCAACCAGGAGGGTGCGCCATGCAACTTTAATGGAAGTCATTGAATGGATCGACAAAGCCTGAACATCAGTGAAAACACAAATCATCCTGTCGGGATTCAGAAAGGGTGGAATAATTCTAACTGGAACTGATGCTGAGTCTGACAGCAGCTACACAGAAGAGGAAGCAGCGCTCTGTTTACCTCCGGAGGTTGCGGAGTTGCTCAGCAAGTGACACAGAGGATGAAGAATTCAATGGATTTAGTGATTTGGAGTGAGATCGAGAGTTTGGTAAACTTATGTTATGTTGTTTATGCTATAGATATCTGAATATCTGTTCATATGTTACGTTAACAGCCTGTTGTTTCCCCCAAAAAGTGCGACTTATATGTTTTTTTCTTCTTTCATTACACATTTATTGGCAGGTGCGACTTATACTCCGGAGAGTCTGAAAAATACGGTACTAGTGCTACTACTAACAATACTACTGCTGCTGCCACGACTACTATCTAACTACCTGACTACCTACCTGCCTAACTAACAATAATGTGGTCCTACCTTCAGGACTTGAACTTGTCCCTCATTCGTGATGTCCTTCAGTAAATCGCAGAAAGATCGGCACAATGATTCAGCGTAGTTCTGCAAAGAGAAAAAACAAAATCATGAAAATTGAATGAATAATTTAATAGGGATGTAATGATATCCAACTCTCACAATATGCATCTCACGGTATGATATTTATTACGATATTTTTAAGAGGCTTAAATAATTGTAGATAGGACTTTTTTTACTTTTAAAATACCTTGACAAGATTTTGATGGGATTACAACGGAAATAATTCACAAGAATTCAAGTCAAAAACATATTTCTTCATGTTGTTTGCACTGAACTGAATCATGGGATATGTAGTTCCCGATGTTTATAAGCTGTTGCTACTGTAAAACCATGGCATTTAAGCAAAGGAACTTGTGATTCGATATATTGTGACAGCCCAGGATATTACTGAAAGACTTTTGACGATACGATATTTCAGTTATTGTTATATCGGTACATATATCTGTTCATCTTTACAAAGATGTTAATGCTTTGTCCTTAATGTCCCACAGTATGGCTTTATTCATGATATATCTCCATGTAGACAAGTGTATGACTCCACCAGGGTAAGTTACAAGCCTCAATAAAAGTAACAGTGTTTTTCAAGGCATTTCATTAGCATTAAAACACCTGTAGTTAATGCCATACTGTGGAACATTCCAGACAAAATATCATATCTACAGAAAAGTTACTTAGTGCACCTTTAAATACTGTACTTTTATAAATTGTTCACCCCATACTGATCTTTCCTGTTACGCACTAAACATCTGAGCCAAGTCTATGCAGTAGAAAATATGGAAAAATAATGTGTCCTTTATAACACCATTACTGTCAATTTGATTCAAAACTGTAATAAGCCACGAGTGTCATATTAATCCTCGTAGCACCATAATATTGTTACTGGCAACTTTTCATGAGGAGGAAGTGGGCTGAAGTTTGACTAGTAAAAAAACTGTTGTGAAGTTCAGTCTTGTTGAAGTGAATTTAAAAAGGCCATAAAGAAATGAGAATGTTTGGAGCTACAGGAGAGATTACCAACACATTTTACTAGTCCCCACATTCTGTAAAATACTAAATGAGGCAGACAGATGAACCAACCCACACATTTATAAACTTTAGATTGGAATATATCGGGTAATAAATGCAACTCAATTACAAAAAGAAAATGTAAAATGGTAATTCATGTAAAAATAACAGCTAACAAACAATATGCATCTTAAAAAAAACTGAACTAATTCATTTTTAACAATTTACAGTGGTCCAAAGTTTTTCCTCACTTATCTTAAAGTTCCTAAAACATTTTACAATGAAGCATTTTGAAGCACAGTTCAGATCCTTATATTTAAGATTTTTGCACATTTATGGTTGGAAATCAAGACATCACACAAGGGATTTCCATAACTGTTACCTCGCAATATGTTATCAATATGTCTCTACTATCTGTATTTTTAATTTATTTTTTTTCAACTTTTCATCACAAATTGCTTTTTGTTTAAGAAGAAGATATAAGAAGTGTTTGAACCAGCAGAACTGAACAAGCAGCTTGGATGAGCTGTGAAACGTATTCCACCAAAGAAACTTTTGTCCACTTGACAAACTGAATTTCTCCTTTTGCCATGGATTCTACCTGGACAACTGAGGGATTTTACACACATGCCCTGATTATCCAACAATAAAACATTTGATTAATTATAACTGATTGGAACAGTGTGCATTGGACTTATTTTGACCTCAAGAGCTGCTTATAATATATCTGTGCTGGGACTAGATCAATTTACCTCACATATGGGAACAGGGTAAAGGGCTTTTAAGTAATTTATGTGTTGAAATCATTATAGTGAGTGGTACGGTAAGTGCATGGACATGCAGGAGCACCTCTTGGTTTTAATTGCATACCAGTATATATATTAAAAAAGTGAGTTTCGAAGGTCAAAAAGGATTATTTTGAAATGCAGGAAATAAACGACTACGCCTGTTGCTACTTCTTCAGGACTTTGAGGCACAAACAGCTTTGGTAAAAATGGAATGAACAAAACATGTGATGAGTGAGGATGGCCCCATTCCGCTGGACTCACCTGAAGGAACTCGGTGGCAGACAGGTACAAGTACGCGTTGACGATCTGAAAGCAGGTGCGCAGATTCTCCGAGCTCAGTTCTGAAACACAACAAAAGGGTTCACACTTAAAGGTGCACTGTGTAACTTTTCTGGTAGAGGGTCCGTTTCTGATGGAGGGTCTGTTAAGTCTGTTAAAAGCTTGTCTCCATGATGTTCTTGCTTTGTCTGGAATGTTTCCATATGGCATTAAACCTTTCTATCATCATGGAGACCAAACCAGACCAAGTGACAGGTCAGATCTGTGGAGAGGCAACCCCACTCACAGTCACAATGCCTGTTTTTCTAGGTATTTTTGAGCTATAAAACCACTTGTAATGTAATAAATGTAAGGTAGAGCTATTTAAAAGTGCACTGTGTAACTTTTTTGGTGTAGGGTCCGCCGTTTGTCTCCATGGTGAGGTCATTGCGTTGCCTGGGATGTTCCACAGTATGGCATTACACAAATATAGCTTGTAATTATCCAATTACAGGTGTTTTTATTTCTCAAACGACTACAAAAACATAGATTATTAGAGTCAACGAGCCCACTTCTCTATAGATCTGATCTGTAACGTGCCCTGGTGATGGCCTCCTCGTCTCCATGGAGATAGTTAAATGAAATGTTGTAGAAACAGCAATACATCTACAAGGAGTCAAGCAGGTGACCAAAAGCCTTACGCAATGCACCTTTAAAGTCATACTGTGGAAAATTTCAGGCAGAGCAATGACATATCCACAGAAACAAGCAGGTGACGGACTCCCCAAACAAAAAGTTACATTGTGCACCTTTAAGCATCAAAGTAATAAATGAAAGAGACTGCAGGAGGAGAGCTGGAGGAGGACAGGCATTTGTTAAGTCTTTGCAGGTGGACAGATTCATCTGACTCATGACAGATCAGTGCAAAACTCATTTACACTTTGAGTCATTTGAGCGCATTGAGACTTTGCTATCTGTAAAAGTCTGTCAGACAAAAAAGCCATATCTTCTACTCTCCACAAATCATGTTCTAAAGAAAGGATTATTAATAAGAATAATTTATCAAGTTTATAGAGCTTTTCTGAGCACTCAAAGAAACTCAAATACATTCTGAAGACGCTATTAAAGGTCCATCTGAAACTTTAACATGGTACTGAAGAGCCTGACTGAAGTTCAGACATTAGCCAAAGTTTTCATTGATTTGTTTGGTCTATAGGCGTAACTGTCTCCAGTCAGCCACAGACACATTTGTACTAACTTCATCTCTGGACAATATGGAAATGCCATGCCTCATTCTAAAGCCCAGAACCTCAGGAATACACAATTAAAATCCATACATTAAATATGTAACTTTTTGGTTGGGGGTCTGTCACTTGCTTGTTTCTATGGATATGTCATTGCTCTTTCACACTTCCACAGTACGATATTAAACAGCTCTACATACATTTATTCAATTACCAGTGGTTTTATAGCTCAAAAATACCTAGAAAAACAGGCAGAGCAAGGTTGCCGCTGCACAGTTCTGACCTCTAACTTGTCCTTGTTTGGTCTCCATGAAGGTAGAAAGGTTTAATACTATACTGTGAAACATTCCAGGCAAAGCAATACATTTGACGGTCCCTCCACCTGAATGGTTACACAATGCACCTTTAACATTTGATCTCGGTGCTAAATACTGTGTTAGCATCTTCAACAAAAGCTAATGGGGACAATCTGGAGCAAAGTTGAAGGGTTACAAGTACACAGCAGTAGAATCCGTCTGACATAATTTATGTTTGATACAAACAACATTTGGAATGAGCACCAGGCTCTTAATGTCCTCATTAATCATACAATAGTGCCAAAGCCTTCGGCCAGCATTACAATGGTGCATAGTGCTCATGTGAAGACTCAAACCAGGCATCTACCACATCTTGTAAATGTACACACTAGAACAGAGTTTGCAATCAAAACCACAATGTCAAAGGCTACAATTAACAAATGAGGAAAACTGCAATAATTTGTATACAATTTCCTCAGCAACAAGCACCGCCTTGCAATGTTTGTCACATAAAAGTAGACAAAAAAAACAACCTGTATGTCTCCCAGCCCATGTGCCTTGGAAGAGGGCACACTACACACATATTTAATATCAATATTTAATATCTGAGCTCTGCATTACTGCAGCCATGAGTCATGGCCTATAACATAAAGTCCTGACCTGGAAGACAAAGGTGCATCTCCCTATGGAGAATCTACAGCTCCTGCTTTGTCCTGAGAGTGAATTATAACAAAAACTAAGTTCTCAATAGTTCATTGAGTTGTACAATCTATAACAGCACTAAATATTTAGATTTCCAGATTTGATCCCAGAGAGGAAATTCTGGTGCTGGCAGCAGCTTAAAAACATTCCCAGAAAGCAAGAATAAGATGCACATTCAAAATACAAGGACACAATTTACATTTAAGCAGGTAAAGTGCAGGTAAAGGCAGTGACAAATCCTCTAAGAGTTAAGGAGGCCAATGGTTTCGATTACACCAGATTTACCCGAGTTACTACACAATAGCTCTAAGTATTTGTAAAAATCCTTGGTAGAACATAACTTTCCCATTGTCAGTGAAGAAACTTAGTCAGTTAGGAAAGTCAGCTATCTGGTGCAACACAAAACAACAAATAAAAAATTTAAAAGTAGTGAAATATAAAACATGATCAAATAAAAGCATGCATAAAATACGGTATTAAAAATAAGATTAGGTGAAAAGTTCCCATTTTCAGAGCAACAATGAGAAACATAGTGAGTCACTGTTGATAAAGGAATTAACTGAATTATTAAACGTGTTGTTCCACCACGCGATCATTATCCTGTTTTAAATACCTTCCTTTGTTGAGAGCCTGACCCAGACTGTCAGAAGTCATGCTCGGAGCTTTCCATTGCACACTTGCAGATCTATGCATTATGTATAAGCTGCTTATAGCCGGCTCTTTTATATGGGATAAAATGGGAACAATGACTACAGGCTACTTAAGGGAACAGTCAAGAAAAGAACGACTTTTTTACAGTTCAGGTAAGATGAATGCCCTCCAGACGATGTTAACACAATTTACAGCCCTCTCCAAAGAAGTGAAAGTGCAGCGGAACAAATTTGATCATTGGCCTGTAAGAAGAAGTAGCGTAGCTTTAACTGCTAATTACATTTGGACAATTAAATCGAAAGAAAACAAGCCACAAAGTGCACCAAACTATTCATTTCACTGGGCCTGTGGGTCTTCAGTCGTTTGGTCGATTAATAGGACCACATTTTATTGTTGACTAATTATTTGATAGAGATTTACATTAACGATAGCAGACAGGAAAAGGCATTGACTTTGGCTGGAGTTTTAGTGGAATGTGAGTTGTACCTCCCTATAAAGACAACGTTTAAAGTCGCTTTACCTGATTTTTACAGTCTTGAAAACATGAAAAACTGTTCATTTGAAACATTTTGCAATGGTCCACGGTTATTCCTCACTTACCTTATGCATTCTGAGCGTCCTAATTACAGTGGTCCCTCGTTTATCGCGGGGGTTACGTTCTAAAAATAACCCGCGATAGGTGAAATCAGCGAAGTAGCCAACTTTATGTTTTACAATTATTATACTGGTATTAAGGCTCCCTTCAGCACACACTTAATACACTTTTCTCAGACAACACAGTTACAACCCTTTTTGGCATCCTTCTTAAAACTTATTGCTGCTGTCGTCCTTTTGTTATTTTCCTCTTTCTTTATGTAACGAACTGAAGATTAATTTATTCCGTAATGGAGTCCAGCACAGGTCCATTTCTGGAGACTCACACCCGCCCGTTAACCCGAGATTATATCAAACTTTTGCGCTGCATACGACACAGATTGAACCAAGACTAAACCAGAACTAAATCAGGACTAACCTAGGACTGATTCCAGGACTGAAGAGGAGGACTAAACCAGGATTGAACTAGGAATAAAACAGGAGTAAACCAGGACTAAACCAGGACTCACTGTCAGGCTTGGAGGTGACTGCAGGAGAAAGGACCGGCACAGCTCAATCATGCTGCACTTCAGAGTCACCCTTGCTAGAGATCGAACATTTATGTAAATTTGGCAGCTGAACCCATTCCATACTGTATAGGGGACACGGCACGGAGGTGATTGATTGACAATGGTCTACAATCCCTTAGCCAATCAGGACACAGGGGGAGGAACTCATACGCTGTAAAAAAATAAAAAAAAATAAAAAATCAGCGAAACAGCTAAAGGTGGACCACGATATAGCGAGGGACGACTGTATTCACCGTGATGAGTATATAAGTGCTTTCTACAACTTTAAAAAAGCAGAGTTTTGCCATTGCAGTAACGTCAATTAGCATACTAACAGTGCACTTCCTGATAACATGCTTTCTGATTAGACACAGACAGTACATAGCTGATTTATTTTAACCTCAAGAGCTGTTTATACAATATATCTCCACTGGACTGTGAAAAAAATTGCAAAATAAGACAAAAACAAGGCACAGGGCGTTTAAAATCTTTCATTTGCTTTTGAGAGAACATGTGATCTTTTGTGTGTTCTGTTCAAGTCATATACATGAGATACATATGAATTTTAAGATTTTAACCTTACATTTAACATAATTCTAGTCTGTTTTAGTTACACACAGCACATTTTATAAGGTAGTATCAAGGGTTTTTCCCGTAATATTTCATAAACATTTTCACTGTGTGTTGTCAGCTAGGTTATTGTTTTGGTTTTACTGAAGGCAATTATTGATTTATTCATAATTACAAAAACATTAAGGGACAAATAAAGGGTGTATTACCTCATGTGATGTAGTATTTATTTACATTTTGAATTTGTCACTTTGGGTTGCCAGATCCAGCAACTAAAAACCAGACGGCAATAAACGTAAAAGTCTCTTAAGATGTGATTGTGCTGCCCTTTTTAAACCAACAGGAGTGCATGTTACTGCCATTACCTTCAGCATGATTCATGTCAGTGTTATCTAGGTACACACAGTGCATGTTTAACTGTGTAGTAGTTAAACAACATTTCAAGGAGAAAAACAAGTCTCCAGCTATAGTAGGTATC